ATATCTGACGTCTATACTTGGTCCTTTAGTTGGCAGCTCAGAACATCACATACAGAACACTATGGACTTTGTTTCAGTGTGTGAATGTGAGTGTGAATGGGTGAATGTCTGTTAGTGTAAAGCGCTTTGGGGGTCCGGAGGGACTTGAAAAGCGCTCTATAAGTTCAGTACCATTTACCATTTACCATTTAATAAAATAATTGCTGATGTAATATTTTCCCTATAATTATTACAAAAACACAAAATAAGTATAAATAAGTATTTATATTTGTGTACAAGCTGTTTAGATTGTCAAAAAGCCTGTGTTTTTAGGGTTATTAACAAAGTTTGTGTATTCAGACCAGTAATATTTGGGGTCACAAGTTTTTGCCATGGATAGTTTGTGAGTCAGAAGACAAAAAGTTTGGGAACCACTGATCTAGAACCACACAGGCACAATGCCACCCCCCCACCCCCAACAACTGGTGACTAATAATTTGCCACCTTTCAACTGCCTCACTCTGAAAGCTGTTAGGGGGCTAAAAGTGGGGGAGGTTGCTGCTGAATAACCAGAGAAACACGTATTGAGCTAATGCATGAACGAGATGTGTTTATATATGATGAGTCCTTGCTACTCCGCCCAGGATTGGATTAAAAGCAGCTTAGCCAGAAGGGAGAAAGGTGCTAGTTGTAGTTTTGGAGATGACTGGACTGCACAGCTTTGCTTCGCAGGAATCGGTCCATCGCTAAGCCAACAGGTTTAGCTGCTAACTTGCTACATGGCTCATTGTCTTATTCAAATTCCTCTAACTTTTTTTCACATTTGGACCATCTTAACCAGTGTGTTCACGTTCAGCACTCGCTCCTACAAGATGTGAATGTCTGTCTGGTTTCCTCCTCTAAGAACCACCCAGACTGCACAGAGCAAAGGCTCCAGTCTGCAACCGCTTCAATATCTCCTTCTTTCTGTTTCTGATGTCTTTCACTTTGTGAGCAAACTGCCACCCACTCATCCTCTCTCTCTCTGTCTCTCTCTCTCTCACACGCACACACAGGCTTCGACGGAGCACCACACCCTTTTAGCCGGCTGTCTCCTGCAGATGAGGAGAGGGGGGGCTCAGGTGGTAGATGCCACAGACACCACCCAGCCCTGCTCACCGTCACCTCCTTTGCTTCTCTCCCCAATTCAGACTGCAAATTTATGGCCAGTGTAGAAGGACGGAATCTTTTTTTTTTTTTCAGATGGTTTAGGGGGAAAAAAATGCTCTGCAGCAACTAATAACAGCCGTACGCTAGCCCCATCGCATCCTCTGGAGCAGCCTTTAATTCAATTACACCGGCTCTCTGCCCGAACAAAGGCTCCGCAATCGCCGCTGATCTCACATGGCCTGGGGATGAAAAACGTGTGGGGAGGTGGGAGCGGAAAGAGGAGAATAATGGAGAGAAGAGGGAGATGGTCAAACATGAGGGGTGTGGGGTGTGAGGAGTGGGCTCGCTCTTTAGCTAAAACCAAGCTAAGCAGGAGGGGGAGAAGTAGAGTACACGAGCAGCTAATGGGCAGGAGGAAATCTTCTAGGCAGCTGCCTGGGTCTTTGAAATTCGATTTGAGATTAGAGGGCTGAAGCTGAACACGAAGGCCTGGAGGCCGGCAGAGCAGGGTCCTGGTGTGACGGTGGAGTTGGGACAGTTTGTAAAAGAGCCGGAGCAGATGAGCCAAGCTTCGTTTAGGAACGAAACTCCAGCGTGAACTTGCAAAGATTTCCTTTATTATAAAACGAGAGAGAGAGAGAGAGAGAGAGAGAGAGAGAGAGAGAGAGAGAGAGAGAGGCATGAGACAGAGTGGAAGCAGTCAAATATGAATAACCTAAAGG